TGGGAGGAACCTCAAGCTCACCAGACCCAGCCCAGGAGTGTAGACTAGAATGAAAGCCTTCAGGAAACCTGTCCTCGCCTCAGGTGTCATGCACTGAGTCGCTCCATTTGATCCCACCATGACTTACTTAAAGGCAGTACTGATGTACATTTGGTGGAAGCTTTTTTTGTTTTGTTTTGTGTTTTGGTTTTTCCTGACTGAGTTTTTCTCTGTGTAGCCTTAGCTGTCCTAGAACTCACTCTGTAGACCAAACTGGCCTCCAACTCACAGAGATCCTCCTACTTCTGCCTCCCAAGAGCCAGGAATAAAGGGGTGCGCCACCACCTTCTGGCAGAATTTTTTAAATCACATTTGTTACGTGTGCCAGATACATACCATTTGTGAATTCATGACATGATGAGCATGTGAAGATCAGAGGGTAACTTTTGGGGCCCAAGGAAGTGAACTCAGGTCATCAGGCTTGAAGGCAAGCATTTTACCTGCTGAGCCATCTCTCCAGCCCCAGGGAAGATGATCTTAAGGCATATCCTTCCAGTGTACATATGTGTCTTTTTCCAAGCTGCATCATGTCATTATCCTATTTTTCACTATAAACACCCTTGCACTACTGATACATACGTACAGGCAAAGTTGTGGAGTTTACACAAAGGAACCTTTATTAGAAACCAAAGAGAATGCAAAGACTCTTCAGAAACCCATACTCATGCTCTTAGGTATGTATTCTTTTTCTTCTCTCTCTCTTAACTACATGCTCAAATCTATGTTAAATACCCCTCTTAAAAAAACTTATTTGGGATGTGGATGGGTATGAATGTGCTGTGTGTGGATACAGGTCAGAGGCCAACCTGTGGAAGTTGGGTCTCTCTTTTTACCATGTAGATCCCAGGGATGAAACTGAAGTCACCAGGCTGGCAGCAAGCCTCTCTACATGCTGATCCAGCTCACTGGCCCTGAACTCTCTCTGAAATAAACCCCAAATCTGCTTCATGTAAGGCAGGGAAGGAGGGAGGACTTCTCAAAAGACAGCATTCTCGGAGTAACTAATTCTTTAAATCAGAAAGTCTTAATTCAAAATTTAAGCACGTTTGCCAAAGCTGGGCATGGTGGAACATGCCTGTAATCCCAGCATTTGGAAGGCACTGGTAAGAGGGTCAGGAGTTCAAGTCATCCTTGGTTACAAAAGGAGTTTGAGACTAGCTAGTTTGATCCTGTCTCAGACATTTAAGAAAAAAGGGGGAGGAGGGGCTGAAGAGATGGGTCAGAGGTTAAGATCACTAGCTCTTCTTCCAAAGGTCCTGAGTTCAGTTCCCAGCAACTACATGGTGGCTTATAACCATCTATGATGAGATCCTGCACCCTCTTCTGGCATGCAGGCACACATGCAAGCAGAATGATATGTAGACAGACAGACAGATCTTAAACAAACAAACAAAAAGATAGCTTGCCTCTGCGGAGACTTGGACTGAGATGACCACAGACAGGGTGAAAGACCCCAGCCTCACCCTAAGTTAAACATAGCTAATGCCATTTTGTGAGACACCACTGTTTTGTAAAACTCTGAAGGCCAGATGAGAAACTGGAAAATTACTGAAAAATCCTAGCTGTGTCACCCACTTGGGATATCTGTGGTCAGGCTGCCACAGTCATACTAAAAACAGTTTGTGTTAATCACTCTCATAGATATCTGTGAGACTGTTTCAGCTAAGATAGGGAAAAACAAAATAACAGGTGGCGGGCCACGTCAAGGGGTCATCCTACCCCCCTTGACCACCCAGTTCCTGGAATCTTGGTGCCCCTGCCAAACTTTGACGCAAATTGTGGTCTCGTGTAAACGTACCAATCAGCCCCCTGTAACCATGCCCTCTCGCTTCTGTACCAGTGCTTCTGCCTCTAAAACCCTATAAAAACCCCAGCTTCCCATCTAGCAGGCGCGCAAGGTCCTCCTGAGTGACCTTGCTGCCCGAGTACTCGTGAATCAAAATAAAAGCCTCTTGCTGTTTGCATCCGAATGGACTCGTTGTTCTTTGGGAGGGGGTCTCTCTGACGGAAGATACCCTCCGGGGATCTTTCAAGGGATGGTGAGCATTCGGCGGGGAAAGGTCTCAGAGGTGTTTCTGTAAGCGTGCGTGTGGCCAAAAGAAAAGAATCTGAAAAGCTCTTTCCAGGGGCATAAACAGCCTTGTCATTTGCGTGTGGACAGGGTCCTTCCACAGCAGCTGCCCATTATCCAGGCTGCCGCACGGTGTTCACTCAGTCATAAAACAATGAAACAATGTTGCCACGTGCCTGTGACCCCAGCTCTGAGAGGACTGGAGACTTAAGATCCGGAGTTCAAGATCATGGCCAGCTACAGAGTGAGTTTGAGGCCAGCCTGGCTACACAACACCCTGCCTCAAAAAACAATGTTCCAAAAAAAGAAGAGAAACTGCCATCTGGACGTAAAGAAAGGGGGAAGAGGGAAAAACAAGTGTACATTCCCTCTTATATGCAGAATCTAGAGTTTTATACACACACACACACACACACACACACACACACAAAGCAAAGCAAAGCAAAAGGCAGACTACTGGGATGGAAAGAGGGAGACCAGCAAGGTGGATGAGGGAAGGTAGCTGAGAGGATGTGCATGAGCAAGGTACAATGACGCAGACTTAGGAAAATCAGGGTTGGCAAAGGACTGGCCACTGAGTTTGACCTCCAGCACCCAATGAGAGCTGGGTTAGGAAGCAAATGCTGTAAGTCCAGCACGGGGCAGGTGAAGACAGGGGGGTCCCTGGGAACTGTTGAGCCAGCCTCGTCTAACTGAATACAGGTGAGCTGAATTTTCAGTGAGAGACCCTGTCTCAAAAAATTGGCCAGAGGAAGACATTCAAACATTTACCTCTGGCCTCCGTAGGTACATGCAGGAGCACGCACAACTCACACAAAAACACACAAAAAGGAAAGAAAGTACCATAGAAAACCCCATTATTTTGCATGTTAACAACAACAAAATGCTAAGAAAAAAATGTTTACTTTTCCAGGTGGGAGTGATGGCAGTTTCTGGATCCTTGGGCTTGGATCTAAGAAAACTGCTCATCTACGGAGCTCAGGCAGCAGTCACTGCAAAAGTAACTTGGAAAGTGGCCTATGCCATAAGCCATTGAGTTTCAGTGGCCATTAATCATCATGGGAAAAAAGCAGCAAAACAGAATCACTCCCTGAGCATACCAGGGATACTACGTTTGAAAGAACTAATGAAACAGAAATATCTACAAAACAACTCCCATCCTGAAACATCCAACACACCTTCCAGTGGAGCACAGCTCAGAAACAAAGACCAAACTGGCATCCACCCCACGTGGGATTCTACTCCAAATTAGAAATTTGAGGCTGGAGACGTTGTTCAGCAACTAAGAGCACTTGCTACTCTTCAGTGGACCAGGGTCTGACTCCCAGCACCCATAGGGTGGCTCACAACTCACAGTCACTCCAGTTCTTAAGGGTCCAGTGCTCTCGTCTGGTCTTCTCAGGCATCGGACACTTGCATGGAGCACAGGCATATGTGTATACAAAACATCTGTACATGCCGTGCTGCCTAGTTTCATATCAAGTCAACATAAGCTAGAGTTATCTGAAAGGGGGGAACCCTCAACTGAGGAAATGCCTCCATAAGATCTGGCTGTAGGACATTTTCTTAATCAGTGATTGATGTGGGCGGTGCCATCCCACGGCTGGTGGTCTTTGGTTCTATAGGAAAAACAGTCTGAGCAAAGCTATGAGGAGCAAGCCAGTAAGCAGCATCCCTCTGTGGCCTCTGTATCAGCTCCTGCCTCCAGGTTCCTGCCCTGCTTAAATTCCTGTCCTGACTTCCTTCAATGATGGTCTGTGATCTGGAAGTGAAAGCCAAATAAATCTTTTCCTCCCCAAATTGCTTTTTGGTCACAGTGTTTCATTGCAGCAATAGAAACCCTAAGACATAAAATAATTAAAAATAAAAATCAGAATCTCCAAAGCTGCCTCACAGTTCACATCTGACCCCAAGCTCATGGGCCACAGGAAGTCCAAAATGAATGTGACAGCACTAGAAGCTGCAATAGACTGCAGAAAAAGACTGCATGTAGAGCTGCAGGGTGTGTGTGAGGTTGCAAATACTGATGAAAAACAAAAAACAGGCAAAGCCACGGGTGGTAGCACATGCCTTTGATCCCAGCACTCAGGGAGGCAGAAGCAGGCAGATTGCTGTGAGTTCAAGGCCAGCCTAGTCTACAAAGTGAGTCTAGGGAAGTCCAAGCCTACATAGAGAAACCCTGCCTTGAAAACAAACAAACAAAAATAGGCAATGGCTGACACACAGACCACAGCTTCAAGTCTTTCCCTGATAGTTTGGCCAGTCGCACCAGTGTCAAAACAGAGGAATGGAAGCAATCCAAACAACATTAACCAATTAGTGAGGCAACAGTGAAAGCATAGAAATGCATCTGATGATTTGTAGAGACATTTAGCAAAGCAGGAGTGAGGAGCTCTGGCAGCTCACATGAGGTAGGACCTTGGTCCCATGTGGCGGCACCTGCCAGTCATCCCATGCCAGTCATCCCAACATTTGGGAGGTACAAACAGGAAGAGTTGAAGGTCACCTTTGGCCAGGAGACATTTTTGCAAAAGGAGAGAGAGAACGCAAGAACAAAAGGTTTAAACATCAGTGAAGCTAACATCTGGAAATATGTAGATGTATATAGGCATTATATACATTTATTTGCATAGATATTCATATGTATGAATCTGCTTCAGTTCTCCAAATTCACATTCATGTTGAATTGGAATGGTAAAATTTCTATTTTCCAGACCAGGAATAAAAAAAATTTATGGCAAAAAAAAAAAAAAAAAAGACAGCTTGCTTGGCACATAGTCTTCAGACGACATCCCATCTCTGCCTGTGTCCACTCAGGTCAAGGGAGGCGCGAAAGACATGTAGGGACTAGGGTCAGATGGATTTCCAGCCTGAGTCTTGGTTGTGTGCCAAGCACCCTCCTGGTGGTTTAAAGGGCTATAGGCACGTCGTCGGATCAAGGGGTGTTTGTAGGGTGGGGGGACAGAGAAGCCGAGACAGCAGGCTGTGCATAGCCGTGTGCTTTATTGGATCTGGTGTCTTTTTACTTTACAAAATATGTAGAAGAGCCCAAAATGCAAAGCAGTCAACAATGTCTGACGGGATGGGGGCTCTGTGGGGCCTTCCCCTCAGACCCTAGCTGACTGGGAAGGCGAGCTGAACGAGACAAGCAGGTATAGTAAGAGGGGGACAGCAGCATCTCAGGGTGCTGACAGTAAGGTTGGACCTGGATCCTAGGTCCCTGCCCTCTAGGTGAGCTCAGGGGCATCTCTGGGTAGACTAAACAAAGGGAGAAGGGACCCCAGGGAATCCTAGGGCATTATGGGGAGCTGGGCAAAGATTCTAATGAATGCCCCCACACTGGGTTCAGATGTAGTGGCCTTCTTCCCCCTCCCATTCCCCTAAGGCAGCCACTAGGACGAGTGGTAAGACTCAAGTTGGGGGAAAATCCCTGACTCACTCCATGACCTTTACATTCAGAGGTCATGGAGAACAGAAACTGAAGTCACAGCCATCAGAAGGTGAGAGGCCAGAAGGTAGCATGGGACTTTGACAGGCATCATCCAGGAAACCTCCCACTCATCCTCCCCCAGCCACACAAGCAAGGAGGTGGGAGAGGACTCAGAATGAAACAGACATCTGGATCCTAGTCTCTCCTAAGACACTGAGAAGTGCATGGTAAGTTTCTGGGACATTGCTAAGGACATAAGGCCTTCTGGAAAGTCTGGAAGCTCATATTCTGCTGGCCCGGGAAAGCAGACCCATGGAACCTGGCAATGACAGCCCCACCTGGACTCATAATCTGCCCAGGCTTTCGGTTTCCCACTTTAGCCAATTCCTAGGACCTAACTACTGGCTCAGGCAGGGCCAAGATTTTTCTGCTTTCCTGTCATGTTCCTCCCCCTTCCCAGGGCCCTCAAAGGCTGGCTGAAGAGCCAGCCAGGGAAATGGACATGGCATGTTCTCTGAGATGGGGGTCTTAGAGGGAAACTGTGAGATGAGGGATGGGGAAAGCACCATAGCAGGAGGACATTCTGTCTAGTGTCGTTTCTAAAGTGGGGTTGGGGGGTGGAGAACCACTCAGTCCCTAGAGCAGGGGTGTCCTCAGCACTGGGTATCAGGTGAGAAGGGGGTAAGAGCTGCCGGGAGCTGGGAACCCTCCCCACCCCAGATATATTCTGCCTACTCTTGCCATTTAGCTCCAGGGATCTGGACCACTGAAGCCCCAGGACCTTGAATCTCTATAGCTTCCAGGGTAAAGGCAGGATGAGGACAGACCTGAGGAGAGAGGGGTTAGGTTCACCTGGACTAGGACTAGAGCATGGTCACCCCCAGGACGCACTAACCCCTCTCTCTGGGGGACTAGATGACATTATCAAAGAGTTGCATGGACCTCATGATGTTCTCGTCCTGTGGTCATGGCGTGACAAAGCCGGAAGAGAGAGAAAGAGAAAGAGAGAGGGAGAGAAAAAAGCTTGTCAGAGACACAGAGAAAGACATTTAATCAAAGATGGGGACATTCAGAGGTTAAGAAGGAGTGTGCTGGGCTGGAGAGATGGCTCAGTGGTTAGCAGCACTGGCTGCTCTTTCAGAAGACCTGGGTTCAATTCCCAGCACCCACATGGCAGCTCACAACTGTCTGTAATTCCTGTTCCAAGGGATCCAACACCCTCTCACAGACATAATGCAGTTAAACACCAATGCACATAAAATAAAAATAAACATTTTTTTTTTTTTTTTTTTAAAAGAAGGAAGGTTCCTACGGGGAATGTGAGGGGGAGGGGCTTACTCTTCCCCGGTCGTGAAAGAGCAGGATTGGGGTGGGGTGACTTAGGCCTAGCGTTCAGGGAAATGTGGAGAGCGGGGCCATACCTGTTGACAGGACTCAATAAATTCCTCAATGGTCACCACGCCATCCTTGTTTCTGTCCATCTTCTGCAAGAAGGGGGTCAGGCAGGGAGACCCAGGTGGGGAGGTGATGGGAGAGAGATCCTTAGCTGAGTGCCCTGTTGGGCCTTGGTCTCCCCTCCACTCCAGAGCCCCAGCCGACCCAGACCCAGGCACCTGGAAGAAGCTCTCCACATGTTCCCTCGGGGCCTCCTCCCGCAGCGCAGGGTATGTGTACTTGCCCATCATGTCATAGATGGATTTCATGATGTCAAGCATCTCCTGCCAAGCCAAATGAGAGGGTTTCTCCTAAGAGCCTCCAGCTTTCAAACTTAGGGCTCCAGGGCCAAGGACAGACCTTACCCCAGATCCATCTGCACCATCCCCACCCGGCACCCCACACACCATCCCCTGTGCCCTCCAGTGGCCCTGCACCTCCTTTGTGATACAGCCATCCTTGTTAAGGTCATATAAATTGAAGGCCCAGTTCAGCCTATCATCTACTGTCCCCCGAAGAATCACGGACAAACCAGCCACAAAGTCCTGGAGAGGAGGTGGAAGAAACTTTGCCAACACATTCTCTGGGTTTGGCATGGAAATCTTGACCCCATGCACCTACCCCAGAGCCACAGGAAACAGGCTTGTTGGACCGTCTCTCCTAGCTCACCTCAAAACTGACAGAGCCATCGTGGTTGGTGTCAAAGGCATTGAAGAGAAAAGTGGCGTAAGTGCTGGAGTCTGTGGATGAGGGGGGACATGAACTTCATCTTCAGGCAGACTACTCACTTCTTCACAGCTTTCCCAGCCCCCATTTTCTCTGCATTCCCAGACCACCAGAACCTTCTTCCCACCTCAGCCTAGGGACAGACAGCTGTCACCCCTTGGGTGTCTGTCTACTCACCTCCTTGGGGAAAGAACTGAGAATAAATCTGCTTGAAGTTCTCCTCATTGACAATTCCGCTGGGGCATTCCTGGGTGGGGACAACTAGACTGAGCAGAGGTACAAACCCCACTTCCTTTCCATTCACCACCCAGAGACTCCCTGAAGGAGGAAAAACCATCTTGCCTCTGTGGAACTTACCCCAGAGTTCTGGCAAGCAGACTTCTTCTGCACCCCTTCCCACCCCCTACCCCCGTACAAATAAACACGAACTAAACCATCACGCGCCCAGCTTGCCACCCCCAGAGCCCTGAACCTCAGGCTAGAAGCCGGGCCCCATGGGCCCCATCTCCCTCCTCAGGCCATACTTCCGCCAGGTCAGTCAGGCCTCTCAGATTCAGCCCTTGCCAAGTTGGCTACACCCTCCACTCACGTTCTTGAAGCCTCGGTACAGGACCTGCAATTCTTTGCGTGTGAACTTGGTTTGTTCCTGGAGCTGCTCCAGACCCTCAGGCCGGTGGCACACGGTGGATAGTTCAAACTCATCCTCCACGCTGTCTGCGGGGAGTGGTAGGTGGATAGCTTTGCCTCAGGTCAGGCCCCTGAGATCACTTGCGTAATCTTCAAAATAACTAACGAATCCCCCTCCTCCCTGCCCCACCTTCTACACAGGAGGACAGCTTGCCAAACTCAGCTGAGAACACGGAGGGAAAAAAGGTTATGCCTAGCTCCAGGGCCAGAGGTCTGGACTCAGCACTGGCCCTGGTGGTGGACAGACTCTTGCTGTGTCTTCTGGGTAAGGGGATGGAGTAGAGCCCAGGCACGCCTGAGGGTCGGAGCCTTTCTTGACCAACTCCCCCCAGCCTGGGAGAGCCCACAGCCAACCCCCAACCCATCCAGATCAAGCCCCGCCCATCCCAGCCATGCCCGAGCCATGCCCCGCCCAGCTCCAGCCAACCTTCATTCAGACCCCAATCCTGACTCCACCCTCAGTCCCACCCCAGGCAAGTACCCCCATCCCGCCCCAACCAGGACAGTGAGTCACCTGGGTCCAGCGGACGGGGTCTGTGGGGGCGGAGGGAGGCTGGGGCAGCTAATGCTGAAGGGAGCGAATTGTCACCAAGAAGGCGGCAGAAGACCAGGCCAACTGCAGACACTCCCTGACCCCACGCTCACAGGTAATTTCACAGACTTGAGTGCTTCAACACACCAACCCCAGGCCCACAACACAGGCACACGCACAGTGAGCACAGACATCGGTGATGAAATGGACTCTTCACAAACAAACCCCTTCTTTTTCGCATATTAACTCTCTGGGGTGGTACCATCAGAGCGAAGCAATCTTAGGTGCTCAAATAGCTACAGACTGGCTTTTTATGGCTTACAAAAATTCAGTATGCTTTTGGAAGGTGGGCCAGGCTCAGCTGGAGAAATGGAGCCTGTGGACAAAAGGAGGTCACTCAACTGGTGGCCACTCAGCTGAGGGTCAGGCTGGGAAAGAAACACCTCAGTGTCCTGACATCTGGGAAGGCAGGTTCCATCTCTACACCTGTCACCCTGTTGGGTGCAGGTGACATACATTCCAAGGTCTAAAAGAGTAGGGAGGCCAAAGAGTCGCAGACCAACCTCAGCAGCTAAGCCACCCATCACAGTCACACTGACCAGGCTTTAGGCCTGGTCCACCATTTTGCAGAACAAGGAAGCCTACAGGCACACATGATCTGGCCATACATCCCAGTTTGTAGTCACACAGTTTGTAGTCACAACCCTCACATCCAGACCCAGCCACTACCCTAAGTCCCATCACGCTTCACACACACACACACACACACACACACACACACACACACACGCCCCCCACCCCCAGAAGCATAGGAGAGTCACTTGCTTTCACTGACTGAGGGCAGGGCCTGGGGCCCGCAGCACGGCAGCAGCTTGAGGAAACGCTGCTTCAGGGCTTTTTTAGTGGGCCCTGGAGGGTGGCCTGGGAAGAGAGAAGACCCCAGGAAGGCACATTAACTCTCACTGAGCCTCTTTCGTTCTGTTTTCCTGTCTGCTTCCCCACCAATCACGAATCAACGCTGGCTGGGGTGGGAATAGGAAATGAATGGGACTGTGAAGATGGGCAGGACAGCTGGGGCCAGGTTGCCTACTGGGTCTGATAGGCTTGGAAAGTCAAATGAGGCCAGGCTTGGTCACGATGTACAATGAGAAATGGCTGGCAAGAGCAAGGCAGCCTCAGTGTCTGCTGCTAACCCCATTCCTCAGGGTAATGTCTAAGGGATTATCTCTCTCTCTCTCTCTGTCTCTTTCTCTTTCACTTGCACACACATGCACACACACACATACACTCACACTCACCCACACACAGAGGCATACTGTATAGTAACAATTTAAAATGACAAGTGACATAGAAATGACAGTAACACTTGATGGCCTAAACATGCATGTTGCAAACACATATATGAACATAAGCTTTTACCTAATACCCTAATATCCACAAATATGACCAAAGTAAAACATGATTACACATCTGGAGACCCATAGAAACCAACTCATGCACAGCATAATCAAACCACATAAAACACACAAGGGTCCTCAGACATCATGATACTATGTATTTAGGATCCAAGACATATACCAAAGCTTTTATGACATATTCATGACATTATGACCTAGACCTCTGTGAAGGTTAATATCTATTGTTAACTTGACTGGATTTAGAACCATTTAGAAAGCCAGGTGGTGCATACCTTTGATCCTAGCACTCAGGAGGCAGAAGCAGGTGGATCTCTGTGAGTTCAAGGCCAGCCTGGTCTACAGAGTGAGTTCCAAGATAGCTAGGGTTCCACAGAGAAACCTTGTCTTGAAAAAACAAACAACAAATAAAAACAACAAAAAGAGCCATGTAGAGACACACCTCTAGATGTTTAAATGAAGAGGAAAAGCCCACCCTGAATGTGAATGTCACCACCCATGGGCAGGTTCTAGATTGAATAAAAAGTGGGTAAAAGAGAAGGTGGGCTGAGTGCCAGTAATTTCTCTGTTTCCTGACATAATGAACAGACCTACAAGATCCCAAAAGAAACCCTTATGTTTCCTTTGCCAGTTATTTTTATCACAGTTGAGAAGTAACTGATATAGAAAACTGGTACCAGGAGTGGGGTTGTTGCTGTCATAAACCTGACTGATTTGTAGGCTTTTAGAACTGGTTTATTAGAGAAACAGAGTTTGAAGCCATGGGATAGAGAAGGCCTAAAACGCTCTAAGTAAAGCTTAGTGGGTCATTTTGGTGAGACTGTGGAAGACAAGAATGCCAATAGAAATGCAGACAGTGGGACTCAAGATAGAGCTCAGTGAAAGAGTACTTGCCCTTGAGAGGACATTACATGAACCTGTGAAGGTGAAGCCTAAGCTGCATCGGAGATGCCAGGACTATGGAAAACCTGTGGGCACTGAGTAGAGTGTGCCCACAGGAGATACTATGTGTGCTACAAGTAACAGTGAGAAGGAAATACCCAAGACTTATTGGTACCCAGATGATGCGACCAAGCCCTGCACTGTGGAC